AGAGTGGATAAATGACTGGCTAAAGACTTATGCTCATAATAGACCTTGACTTTGAACCCACATACTTTTTACTCTATGTCTCTTGTTCTTTCTACTCTTCCATGCTACCCTCGGCTATTTCTATTTTTATTTTAACGAGTTGACACGGTGTAGGCTAAGTTCACACAATGATGCTACTTCAATTGCTGGGAGGAACAGCCCTATCATTCTTTGCGTTGGTCCGAGCTTACTCGCAGGACTTTGGTGGCTGCTTAGAGCCATGTGCCAAGGGCACTGAATCTGTAGACATCTGTGCACTGAGCTCAGACACTGTCAGGTACAAGCTGGCAATGAACTCTGGGTGTGACTTACAGAAGGCCAAATTATGTGGTCACAGGAGGTCGTGCCCTGTGGCTCCCTAGTGCAGAGCTAAGGCCCTGCATTTACGAGGGCCAGGTCGTGGCTCAGCTGAAGACCTCTGGTCTGACTGGGCCCACTTAGCCATGTGCCACAGTTGTCTGATGAGATATTGACAGGAAGTATTCAAACATTGACCCATGTATTTATTTATCCATTCAATAAACATTTATTGACAACCTACTGCATGCCAGATGCAAGGTGAAGGCTACATTCAAAGTGCAGGATCAGATAAACTGTTGTAGAGCTTAGCATCTACTGGGAGGTAGACAGTAAGTACATTTAAAAAAGAATAATTAAAATAAGACTTTTGAAGGAAATAGATGAAGTGCTGTAATTCAGAGTGACCACTGGGATAGGAATGGGGAGAGCTATGGCCATGTGTCCACGAACAGATGATATTGGACTTGAAACCTGAAAGGTTAAAAAGAGCCTGCAAGGGGCCAGGTGCAGTGGTTCACACCTGTAATTCCAACACTTTGGGATGCTGAGGCAGGAGAATCGTTTGAGGCCAGGAGTTTGAGGCTGCAGTGAGCCATGATTGTGCCACTGTACTCCAGCCCGGGTGACAGAGCAAGATGCTGTCTCTAAAAAAACAAACAAACAAACAAAAAGAATTTTAAAAAATTCTTCACACAAGGGTGGGAAGGGGGTGGAGCTTGGAAGAAATTGCTGTGCAAAGGCCCTGAGGCTGACAGATGGCAATGTGTTAAAGAGCGGGAAAGAAAGTGCTGGTGAGCTGACATGGAGTGCAGGAGGCATGAGTGGCAAGGAATGAGTGTGGAGATGCCACCAGGGCCTGGGCAGGTATGCAGCTTTGGTCCTCCGTGAGGGGGAGGTGGTGGAAGAATTAAGATCACTCTTGGCCGGGTGTGATGGCTCACATCTGCTATCCCAGCACTTTGGGAGACCAAGGCAGGAGGAGTGCTTGAGCCCAGGAATTCAAGACCTTATCAAAAAAAAAAAAATTACTGTGGCCACTGGACAGAGAATTATCTATAGGTTGAAAGGGAGGCGGTGGGAGAGGTGGTGGACACTTGAATGGGGCAAGGCTGGAAGTGGAGAAGGTGGGCTTGAGATGATTTCATGGTTGGGACGTGGGGAGTGAGGGAAGAGAGGAGTCGTGGGCCTGATGGTGCCCTTGGCTGTGATGGGGAGATGGGTGGAGCAGT